AGCACTATAGTAGTATAGTAGCATATGAAGAGCTTCATTAAAGTGAAGACAATTTTTTGTTTCGGTTATCTTAACATGGTAATTGTTATCATCATTATCAGTCTAGCTTGTTTAATCTTTTCATAGCGTTCATCAATATCTTTTTGGTTGCTTCTACTGACTACTATTATTGCTACTGTTTCTCCATAGGGTCACTTGCGAATATACGTACAGATAAATTTATAGACATAATTTTACTTTTAACAACAGGTTTATTTTACTTCAAGTAACTTGAGTCTTATGAGTCCAATTTATGTTTCAGGGAATACGATACTAGATCATGGTTGTCAATCTAATAATTTTTGCTAACTTTGAAATTTCAATTTTTCTATCTCTCCATTTGCAAAATAAATGAATACTAATGAATAAATGAATACTAAGCAAAGCCAGTTTTTTCTCTTAAATTGATTTGCTAAAATATTCTTTTAAGTTTACTGATGAAAAAGTTTTTTCATAATTAGAATAGATATGACAAACATGTGGCTCACTGAATCCTTATAGATATTCCAAGCGATTCATCATTGAATAGCTGTTTTTTAACGAATTATGCATCATTGAACATTAGCAGATAATTTTGCTATTGTTTAGATATATTTGAAAATAAAATGGCGGAAAAAAATTTTGAAATTCATACGATTTTGACAATTCGTAATGATGAAAGCAAAGAATAAGATTAGAGAGATATTGCAATCATTTGAGATTTATTTCTATGAGAAGACTAGTGCTAAGACTCAATTCACTTTCATACAATGAATAATGAATAAGACAATTTTGCGAAACAATTATTTAAATGGTGGTATTTGAAGTCTTATTTTCAAAAAATTATCGCCTCAAGATCTTTAAAAGATCTTTAAGATCTTTAGAAAAATGCCGTCTATTATTAAAGAAAAAGAATATCATGCATAATGATGAAGGTAAAGAATAAGATTCGAATATATGAATATCATGCATAAAAAAAAGCGTTGCTTAGATAGAAAATTTTATGGCTTACATATATCTAATGGATTTAAAATATTATTTTGTTTAAGAGCCCTCAACATTACTGGAGCTCCGCTGGCTTGCTGCATTGGATATGTTAGGGAGTCCCTTGGTGATAGAAGTACAGATGAGTCGCGGTCAAACTTATCAAGAGTGTTGTCTCGGAAATATTTCCTATATTTTCTATATTATATATTTTTTTAGAGCATCTGTTGTCAATCATCATCACCTTAGAATTTTTATTTTCCTATAATTAACCAATTTATCAGCCATGAAAAAATTTTGATAATCAACACCATTCCCTTTAATAAATATTCAGTGTCCATTCGCTTCCCATTCGCTTTTGCTCGGTATGAATTATACATCTATCAAATGGGAATTTTGAAATAAGCGGCATTAATAATCGAAAATTTATGAGCATTCGATATTAAAATTTAGAAATAATATACGGTAATAGCAGGTTATAAATTTAAAAATAAATATTAAATGATTAAATTAACTAAATATTAATATTTCTATTTGTTAGCGTTAAATAACTTTATGGTTGAGGGAAGACCTTAGAAAGAAATTTTGCTTGAAAAAATTTTGATTGTATTTATTTTATCTTATATTTTATAAATTTTATTTTATCTTATGAATTCTTACCATAAGAATTTGATAAACCAATAAATTCCTTTTGAATCTTTCGGATTTTCGGATTCGATCGAAATAATAACTTTTGTTAATTAATTAATTAGTATAATTAATATTCTATCGATAATTTAGTTAATTTAATTACACAAATCACTCGAATTACTGGTTATTTTGCACGAAATTCAAGAAATAAAGCGAAACATTTGTAGCTAGTAAAGTTAACCAATAATGGTGCCAACTGTTAGAAGAAGATCTTAATTTTAATAAATAGCGTATCTAATTTGGCTTAAAATTGCCTTTTTATGAAACCTCTAAAATAATAGTACCTAATCGGAAAAGGCCAAAGAATCTAAAGATGTTGTTGCTTCGTTTGTGTATTGGTACCTTTCATATAATAAACAAATTATATTAAATAAAATAATTTTGGTGATTATTCCATAGTCAAGCTATCCTTCTTTCCTATTTGCTTTAAATAAAATATTCTACTGCTAATGGCTCACAAATAATCTAATAATTTTTTTTTCATGAACATTTCATTATATTTTCCTTACTGGCTTGGACCAGAAAAATTTTGCCAGACAATTACTCGCAAAAATATATATAAGATGCTAGCATCGTCCGGATTTTTGAAAGGTTAATGGACTAAACAAATAAACAAGTAAAAGGTAGAAGAACCTATCGACGTTTTGAGATATTATCACTGAACGCCACTGGAACAACAGTGTTTCCATTCGTGTCGAGCATCATTTGTTTCATTGTTTCATTGTCTGACAGGAGTATCATAAAAATGTTAAAATCCAAGCGGGATTGGGGGCTGCATCATCTTTAAATAAATCTACCTGACAAATCCACGAAAATCAATAGAGCCAACCCAAGTAGTACTTTTAATTAAAATTGTCTATGTCGCATTACATCTATATTGAAAAATTAATTAAAAATAAATTATACAATACACCAGTACCAATATGCTTGGAACCCACCTATATTTCACCATTTATCATTATCATTTATGATATTATTTAAAAAGTTCACATCATGCAGGAAGTGTGAAATCTCGATTTTTACTATCAGATTAGTTGTTTCGAATTGTACTATATTATATTATTTTGCAATTTCCTCTTTATTTCATCTTTAAATGTTTATTTTATCTTATTATTATTATCGTATTATTTTTTATTTTTGTTATTAATTCTTATTATTTGTTATTTTAACTGTTGTTATTAATATAAGCACATGGCGTTTGCGCCCTCTTTGGATGGTTTTTCAATAAATAGATATTTTTCCATCACCAAGTGATTAAAATTTCTAACCAGTGGAGTTTGTCTAGCCAGAAATAATGAGCTATCCACTACTACAAAATAAAAAATATTGTTTAAGACATCGGCAAAAATAGTTTAATTTTCGCATAGGATAGGTTCAGCAATTAATTTAATTTCGTATTATTTTATGGCATTAAAGACTTTAGAATTCAAGACTTCAAAGATATGAATGTCGAATATAGAAAAACAGAAAGGCTAAATGGATTAAATAGACTAATGTGCTAATCAAGCAAACTAGTTAAAAAAAATATTTTGAGAAAATTTATTCTCCTTCTTTAAAATTCAAAAAACAGGACAGAAATCGATGAAAAATTAGCTGTATTAAGCAATTTACTCTTCATTAATGATATGATGGATAAAATTTAAAAATTTCGTAAAAGATGTCAGAAAATTAATTTAAACCAATGTTAATAAAATTCCAAACTATGCGTGAACTATTTATTAATCAATTTATTCAATTCAATTTATTTGTTATTACTGTATTATTCTTCCCTAAAATTATGTATCTGAAATCAAAAAAGCTTTTAACGCTCATAAATTACGGTTACGGATATTACTTTTTGAGGTTTTTTATTTCAAATCCTTCTCACTACTTTGCGTTAATATAAATTATCAATCATATTTTCAATAAAATTTTATTAATGCCTGATGGTTATATTCAACTGAAAAAAAAGGAATGAAATTACGAAAGTATCATGATATCATGATTTGAATCTTTTATTGGACATCTCCTCGGGCAAGACATTGGACTGAGAAATGGCTCGGATAATCAAAGGCGTTTTACAAGCATCCACATTTTTCATTTATCAGAAGTAAGCTTATCGTAAAAAATCAAGATAAATCTCGATATCCATCTGTATTTCTACTGCCAAATCGCCTAGTCTAGATTTTTAATCGTACTCGTAATCGTCCAGCCAGTGAGGAAAAATGATGGACATTAATGATATAAATTATAAATTTATTTATAATTATAAATTTACTTAATTACTTCATCTTGAAATAAATACATATTTATATATGTATAATTCTATTTATATAATTATAAATACTTATGTTTTTATATTTACAATAATACACAATTGCAATTAGTTTTTATATTTAATTTAAATTAATGGAAGCTGATGAGGGTAGTCGGTATAAATGTCTTCTCATAAATAACCTTCACGACTTCTTATTTTTCGCTTCTTTCTATTCTCTTTTGCTCTATTTAAAATCCGTAGCTTTAATCCGTATAATTCGTCCCTTATCATACTTCTATTTTATGTGTAGTGATGATTAATATTAAAATGATTAAAATCCATAGGAGAAACTGAAGAAAAACATTAATTATGTGTGTCGATGATGTTATCGATTTGGAATAATTATAGGCATTATAAAATGCAGTTTTTAGAAAACCAAATCTTTTTGATACTATTTGTATGAAATTAGCCCATAAAATATGAAATATATAAAACAAAGCGATAATATTCCTTATAGGAGTTTGCTATAAGAATTGGAGAGTTCAAGATAAATGATTTATACTTACGTATTGCAAATAAAATACAATAGTAAGATCGAGTGGTATATTGCTAAGCATGGGTTCGATTCCTACTGAGAATAAAATTAAAGCTGACCCATTTTCACTTTCTCTAGATGGCTTACTAGCTAAAAGGTCTCATTCCAATAATTTATGGAGCTAACGATATAGAGGCTAGATTAAGCTTTTCGTAGATTTAGTATTCAATGCCAAATTTTCTGGCATCGTCCCTGGGTCAAACATTAAATAATCGAGACATATAGGGAATCAACAAAATCAATCAACCCCTCCGCATTTCTTTTTGCAATTTCTCATCTAAATATTTTCCTAAAAAACAAATCGTTTTTATAAAATTAAATGCATTATTTTTAGATATATTTTTAGAAAATTTAAATATCTTCAAAATAACTTATCAAGACAATTTTCCGGAATCCAGAACTGGCTAAGATATTTCTTTTCCATACTAATTAACTGGACTATTTTCACCACTTTGAAATACTATATATAAAGAATTTTCATATGTGCAAATATTTATATAAAAAAATTTCACCTCTAGATGGCGTTGATTCATTCGAATAATCACTGTTTTTCTGAAATCGATGGGCTAAATCAGATTTTGCTGATCGCCGAAAATTGTATTTTTTTGGAGGTAATATTTGTGGATTATCATGGTAGTACCGATTTGTAACATAGCTGCATCTTACAGGCAAAGAAATAAATCTTTGTGCGATCGGGTAAAAGCCACAATTATTTAAGGTTGGGGAAGAGGGTGTCCACTGAAGCCCAATAAATGCCCGATTAGCTGGGTGTCGCTTTGATAAGATAGACTGAGCCAGTGGTGAAGATTTACGTTCGAATGAATAATATGGAAATAGACTACGCGATATACCATTGATTTGAGGAAGCTGCGGGTGAGAACTATAGTAATGGTGAAATTGTGGCACCATGGAATCATTATCTGAAGGCAGATTTTCTGTTGGTGCTGGTGTAAATGGAAGACTAGCACGACGGCTCATAAGCAATAAAGCAATGAAATAAATGAATTTTTTTTTCTGACCTCTGTAGTAGCGTATTGAGGCGGGTGCTTTAAACGATGTAACGATTGCATCACACGAAACGCTGATGTCCATTTATGCTTGATTCCTCCATTTCGTGACGATGCCGATGATGAGTTCATTGCTGTTATTTACACCTCACTTACCTGAAATTCTCTTAATGAAATGTGAAATGCATTCTGGATAAATTATAAATTTTATACGATTCAACGAAGCGATGAATGTCAGTCATTATGAATCAAACAACATATAAATGAATTCTTTTTTTGAAATAATTTAGCATCTTTTATTGTTTTCAAACATTTTATCCAAAATTTTTTAAATTTTCGCATATTTCTGTGAAAAATTTCGGCGAAAAAATTTTTTTAAAATTTATAAAGTTGAAATTTTACGCGAGATTTTTATGAAAGACGAAATTATTTTCAACCATCATATGGGAAAATACCCAAGAATTAACTCTATATTTCTATTAATTTAAAGCACTCATTTCATTTAAAGCAAATAATTAATTAATTCATTATGTAATAAAATACATAATAATAATAATAAAATACATCAAAATTCTTGTAAAATAAAATATAATTCTTAAAAGAAAATTCTTGTTTCATATTGGATTTCAAGATTGATAAATAAGTGGTTAGGACTCATCATTTCTGGTTCGGCCAGCTTTACTGGCTGTTAGTAAAGTTAGAAATCCGTGAAAGTGAGTCATTTAGCAATAAAAATGTCATCATTACCCATATTTTTTAATATCAGGCTTATTTCTGTCAGGGGCGGAGAGTCGAACTCGCGCCTCTCAACATAGTGATAATCTGAGATACTCTGAGCCGCTATTCACTCGGCTAACAGATTTGATTTATAGATATAAATTTTGAATTTAAATTGCTCCTGAAGAGAACAAGCATTAAATTCAAAGTCTTTTTAAGATCCAGGATAAAATAAAATGAGAAAATTTTTTTGAAATTAATGTTATTTGAAACCAATACGATTATAAATTCCCAAATTTCCATTTGGCAGCAAACAGAAATATCTAAGACTCTTTGTCTTAAGAGGAGGTGAGATATTTGGCCATCAGCGAATAGTAAATAACATAAAAAATATAGCAAAGAACATAATCGCAGATTTCTTGTAATATGGTACTATAATTATATGAAATAATAGAATATATTTAAAAGAATTATGATTATGATTTATGATTAAAAAAGAATATAACAATCTTATAATTTTTGTATATTATTTTTCGAAAAATTTAGTAGAAATGTTCGAAATACAATAAAAAAATTTGATGAAAAAGGGCGAAATATCTAAAATCTTCAGAAGTCTCCAAAAATCTTCAATTATTTTTAATGTTCACTTTTCCATATTTTACTGAAAATTCAACAAAACCATTAGCAATCAGATAAGCACTAACTTCAGTTTTTTTTTATAAGATATTCATAATTCATAAGATATTTCTTAAATTTATATGAAATTTACGTGGCTTCCAAATAATAAATGATATATATTTCATACAATTGAAAAAAATCTCTCAGAAAAAAAAAAATTAACCTATATTGATCGATTTTGATAACGAAATCGATTACTTTTTTAAAATAGAACTCATTATTGACAACTACTGACGACCTAAATCAAAAATTTAAGGAAGAATGAGCAGATTAATATAGTTTCATATCCAAACCTCTCCGAGATTTATTTGTCAAAAATTTTTATGAACAAAACTGGAAAAAAAATAATCAAAGGAAATTGATAAATGTCGTTGACTTCGAGAACTTCCATCAGTTTTAAGCTAAATATAGTACAATTAATAATTTTTCATCTTAAAAAGAAAAAGTAATCTCAAATTGTTTGAAAATGCATTTTTTAATGAATGAAAACTCTATCACTTTGGTAAGTTCCAATTTGATTTGAGATGCTAAGGTGCATCATACTAAAGAATCTGCAACGAACAATAAATTATTTGGGGGAAACTATGAAAAAATTCTTACTTAATTTTTTTCATCCTTGTTGAAGAATAATTGTGCTAGCGACCGTCTTTTCAAGACTATTAAATTTTTCACGAAATGTAGTTGTGGATATTAATTTAAATGAACTTAAAACTATAACAGTAAGGGAATCTTGAACATATATGAAGTTTAATATGATAGAAGTTTTCAATGATATATTTTCAGAAATAGAGATCGAATCAACTAAATTCATAAATTCATAATCGAAGCCAATATGCTTCTGTATCAAGTTAGCGGAAGTTAACTGAAAAACAAAAAGAAACTAAAAGATTTACTTGTTCAAAAATCGTTTCAGACTATAATGGGTAAAAGTTATTGAACTTTTTAAAAATCATTACTACCATTATTAAGATGTGTGCCTCTGAATTGAGAATTCAATTTTCACTTGCTCGTTGACCAATTCCGATTCTCGATTGCATGCGATATTCACGGATTTGGATAAAAAGAGAAATGAAATAAGGCAACTTTATGCATTTCATTTAAACGACAATATTTATGGAAAATCAAATCACAACTTTAAATTTTTAAACTTTTCAATTTTTTTTTGTTAATTCTATCATTTAATCATACAACAACGATTTTTATTAAAATATATGAAAATGTATTCATATTCCATCAAAAATGATTGGTCAATTGACATAAATCATGTCTTAAATGATTAAATGATTGAATTCTTAGAAAGTTCTTCCTAGAAAGAAAGTATGTTTGATTTGTAACTATTCATATCCTTCCTTCAAATTTTCCTAATTTCAGCTATAATTTTTTATCGATTTGTCATAAAAACAATTTACTTTTAAAAAATAATTCTTTTTTAAAAAAAAAGTCTTATTTAATTTCATCGCAATTTATTACGTCTTCATCAATCTAATTCACTGAGTTTTTCGTGGTTTTCCTGATCAATCCTAAGTAAATTAATTTTCATATTTCTATTAAACAAGTTTTACTTAATATTTGAGAGAAATTTGAAATTTAAATTCAAAAATATTTTTTTCAAAAAGTTCTGAAGCAAAATTGTCTATGATTAAAATGGTTTTTTTAGGGATTATTTAATCAAAATAGTGAAAATAAAATGAATGAAGAAAGTAATGAATTTTTTCTAGACGATTTGCCAATTATTATTTATTTAATTTAAAAACTTTTAAATAAAAATTAATAGAAAATAATAATTAATAAAATAATAAATAATAAATTTGAATAATAAATGAAAATTTTTCAAAGGGTTTTTATAAATCCATTTTAGCTTTAAAATTATTTGAAAGAAAAGTTCGATTAATATTCGATTAAGTGGTAGAAAAATGAATAATTAGGTGAATTAACGATATAATTTGGCAATATTATAAAAATTTTAGTTTTTTTTCGTAGATCGCTATTATAAAAGATTTTATACAAAAATTAACTTCATAAAAACTTCTTTCTTCAGCTTTAAGGTTTCCTTTTGTTGTTTTTTTCTGCTGAAGTCATTTATTTGTTTTTTTCTGCTGAAGGCATTACATTTAAGACTAAATTTTTTCTTTTTTTTTATCATAAATGATGAAAGAATATAGTATTCCTTACTAAAAAATTATATGTAACAAATTGTGTGAAATATGGCACGCACTAAATCTGGTTTGATTATTTTTGTCGATAACTGATGTGAGATATTTGCGAGAAAGTCACTTGAAAATAGAGGTACAGGGTATACCAACCGGATTTAAATTTTGATAACATGTTTACTTCAGCTATGGATGTTTCACCTTTAGCTGAATGAGCATGCGAGGCGCTATTTCCATGAATAAATATTGTTATACAAATGATTAAATAATTGATTAATGCTTAATTAATTAGCGCAACAGAAGTTTTAAAAAAATCTCAGAACTTCTTTTGGCATAATTTTTTCCAATCGCTTAGAATATAATTCCAAAGTGCAAAACTTTAACAAGAAATCATAGCAATATGAGAAGCATAGAAAATTTTTGCGGGAGTTTTTTAAAGTAAAATTGCATTTTTGGGCTGCGCATGTCCAGAAATGCTTTTAATAACAGCGAAAGCTTGTATAATTCCGCCTTATTGAAATTTTTAAATATTTATGTCTGCCACTATTCATATAACCATTTAAAAGATATATTTGTAAATTCAAAATCCTTGTGCTTTAATTTTGGAAAGAAAAAATTGCTAATGGTAAAAGATAATGAAAAATACAAGGATGAATTCTCACTTTGATCTAGTAATAAGATACGGATATTTAATACTCTTAAGATTATGTTTAAATCTTTATTTTCATACACCGAAGTTTTTGAAAAATAATGCATATTTTCCTCCAATTCTACCAATGCAAGCATCTTTTGTATTCATATTAAATTGAAAAATTTTTATTCTTTTGAATAAAGGATCAAATAAGGTGTATACTAATTTTAATATTTTATAACTCATGCAACTCATTTATTTGTTTGTAAAACTACCCAGCAACAAGACCATAATTAATAGAATAGAAAAATAAAGATAGAATTACTCATTTGTTTTACCAAATGCTGCGATAGGACTATGTGTTTCTACTTGAGAATTAAAAAAACAAAATATGTTTCTTCAAAGAACGTAAAACTCGTAAAACAGCCAGCAGTCCTATAACGATGGACGAAAAAAAGAAAAAAGCAAAAGAAGATTTTGCAAAGAAAAAATAAATTGCAAGAAGAATAAAAATAATAAAAGTATAAAATAAAAGAATAAAAGATATTACAATGAAAAAATACAAATAAAAAAAAATTTAAATGGAAATTTTTTTGAGCTATAACAAATATAAATAAATATCTTTGTATGAAGCACAGTTTTTCCCTCAAACAGAAACCCACTTTCCAATGTTTGGACCTATATTTATGTGTACTGCAAAACGCAACTTTATTGGCTACTCTTTAAAGTAATATTCCATTCAGGAAGACACTGAATCAGCTCTGAGCGTATAAACCTGCGTTTCGCAAACTATGGTGACTCTCACTGCAACAATGCATCAAAATCAGTAAATATTCAATCCAGACGTTTTCAGCCATTCAGTCGTATATATAAATCATGTAAATCATCAAATCAAATAGAGAATAAAGA